ATTGCAGAATAACGAACACTGTGTTCAAACAAGTCTTCTGCTGAGATCTGTCTTGCCTGCAAAGCAGTAAGTTTACTTAGTTTTGTATGTAAATGTAATTTCAGCTATAATAACTGTTTACTTCTGTTCTCAAGTGCTTGGAGAACATGTTCACCTCTTATTTAGGACAAAGTTTTAGCTTGACTCCTAATTTGCACTGCATCCAACTCCGCTCCACTGCTCACTACACAGGTGGTCGGCAGCCTTTCTGGAGCACCCTAATTTCCACTGCTTGCGTCCCTTTTCTGCGTCGCTGCACTGCGAACTGCAGACAAGCTCCAAGACATACGCACAGGAAATGAGAGATCGAAGTTAGTGATTTATGAAAAGGATGCTTGGTGTCATGTAGAATATCATTGTTCTTAAATTGTTTTGCCCCCAATCACTCTCGTACTTTGCCTGCCTTGATTTGCGCTTTTGTTCTGACAAGAGCAGAAACTTGAATAGGTTTCAGCATTAAATTCACATGATTTGTGTGTATGCATAGTTATTGGTGATATATCCTGACATCATAATGTTTAGATGGGGCACATCATCCCCAGAATAAGGAACATGGAAGAAGTGGTTCATTATGAAAGGCAGGTAAATAAGCACTTAGATTTAATTGCTGAGACATGACTATACATTGATCCTTGCAGATGTATGTCTCTAAAAGTTGTCTCCTTGGGAGCTTTGCTGAATCACTCTTCTTGATTTTAAGGCTTATATCGTTTTAGAGGAAGTGACGCACAAGGGCCGGGAGTTAAAGTCAACTATTCCTATTTTCTCTGTTTATTTAAGGTGCTGGTCTCACTTAGTTTGCCATTTTTGTGTAAGTTGACCTGCTACTGTCTCATTTTGGTTTCTTATGTGTAAATACAGTAGTAGCCTAAGACCCCAGGTCTACAGTACGGTTTGTGTCCTGAAGGGGGCGTCAGTGAGACCACAAAATGAAGATTATCAACTGAAGTTTTCACACCAACCTTGGAAAACTCAACAGGGAATTTGATATACAGGTCAAAAATATTGAGAAAATATCTAGATAGCCAAACTTGTGCACCTCATTTTTCTTTTTACATGTGGTTGTTTTTTCATAAATTACTGTGGACTTTTTTCCCCTTATAAATTGGTTTTGTTATTTCATGCCTTTTAAGGATTTTTTTTTTTTTTTTTGGAAAAGAAACCTTTAAAAAGCCCAGGGTTTAACCTTGTCTTCTGGACTCTCTCAACCTGCTTATTTGAAACCAAATATAGATTTGCTAAAACTTAGTTCTGTCTCCAGTCTCTGTAAACTCGGTTCTGCAGCACCTGAAGACAGAGTTTCAGAAAGAGCAGGTGCTTCTTAAAGAGACAGAGGCCCACTTTCAAGGTGTTACGTTAGTCCATTTTTTTCAAGTCATGTTTGATATATAGAGCTTTTTTGTAGCAACTGTAGGTAACATAGTTACTTGATTGTGCTATAAAGTGGCACTATGTGCCTGGAAAACACCTCACCTTGACTTTTAACCCAGAATAAGATGTTTATTTTTAGCATTATGGTTTCTGCCTGTTTTTTTTTTTTGTTTTTTTTTCTTTTTATTATAATTTTACACTCAAGCTTTTATTTGTAGGTTACTCATGTTTTATGCTCATCACTTTTTGATTGCTGTTGTTTGAAAGTGCTTTACCAGTAAACATGGCTTGGCTGTAAAAAGTGGGCTGTTTCTTTTGTGGTTAAAATCTAAAAATGCCCACAGATGCACACACACACACACACACACACACACACACACACACACACACACACACACAAAGTGAGCATAGCATTGTAGGTCAATTTCCTGTCACATGCATGCTGCTCAGGTCGCCATCAACAGCAGCAGCAGGATGTTACAAACCATCAGCAGACAGAAACATGATTCGGAGGGTTTGGGTCAGTTTGGCTCTGGTGAACCTGCTGTGGATCCTCTTCTTTTCAACACCAGATTCTTTTTTGGGTAAGAACAAATGAAGGGGCAAAACTTTGATTGACTCCACCTCTGTGTTATGTTCTATGTCCTGTGATGTTCGGCCTTTGTTTCTGTTTTGTTTTGTTTTGTAACTGCCATGGCCTTAAAATTGCAGCCTTTAAAGCGTTGTGTGTGACGTTGTGGCTTTTAAAAAAATAAATGCTTATGCAGTGTTTGTCCAGAAAAGAAGCAGCAGCTCTGAGAAGGAGGAGTTTTGTATTAAACCTCAATTCGATTGTAACTGGACAACAACAGAAAGGGAAGTCATCACCACCAGCACGATTCTGCAAGGTAAGCTTTAGTTTTGCTGGCATCAAGTTTCAGTTTTGGACAATAGATTAACATCTTATTTTATTATAAACTCTGATTTGTAGAAAATGTGGTAATGTCATTATTGAAAAGAGAAGGAAAGTTCCCTCAAATCTAATGGCACTCCTTCAAAAGACATGCTCTCCAATCAACTGGAGCTTGGGGCAGGAGAGGGTGGCGCCTTGGTGATTTCCAGGGTCACATCATGACTATGGGACATTGAATGACATCACTGGTAGTGGAAAAGCTGGCTTTGTATGGAAGGCCTCATGTACAAAGACATGCATGGATTTCTTGCTTTAACATTAGCTGCATTTCCATCACAAATATGTGTGCAAAACGTTGTCAATATTCTGCTAATACACACACACACACACACACACACACACACACACACACACACACACACACACACACACACACACACACACACACACACAAATATCCCCACAGTTAAATAATGTTTTATTTTTGCACCATACTCACATATGCATATCTATACATCCTCTGCAGCAGGTGGGAAGAGTGAAGAATTTAACTCCATGGACAAGTATCTCACAAGTGCTGCACCTCAAATGTGAGTGGTTTCTTCCATCCATCCATTTTCTTACACCCTTGTCCCTAATGGGGTTGGGAAGGGTGCTGGTGCCTATCTCCAGCGAACAGGGGGGACCCCCATAAAATAGTTTTTTTTTTTTTCATAGAAATATAAAAAATTTGGGCTCTCCCAATTACAAAATTAATCGTATCTTGTTTTTTAAATTGCTTTTAGAAGTAAAAATTAAATGTCACTATTCCCAGACCAAAAAACACACATCCATATTTGCACTGAACACCCCCATGGATCTGAATGAAATGGTTTGTTCCTGCTTAGCGCACTTGAGGGTGACTGTGGTGAGCAGTAGAGCAAGACAAGAATGAGTGTGGCAGTTACTATGCTGCCAAGAGAAAATAGTCATGTTTTTTAAGAGAGAGAGAGAAAAAAGACAAGTATCAATATGTAGCCCAGTTTTTCTCTAAGAGAGGTGGGTAAACTGTGAGATTAACAACCATTTAGCATAGTTAGCTTAGCTACAGACTACTGTTTGCTTCCATTTCACCAGCATTTAATGAACAAAAGGAAAAATATTGCCAACATATCCTTATATTTAACTTGTACTTGTCAACACCGACTTTCCTTTGCTGCCCTTCCACAAAATATCTCGACCATTCCCTTACTGCATAATTCTGCTTGATTCTCATCTCCTTTCTATGCTCTGGCTGAGATTTCTCCTATTAAACTGAATTTCTCCAGCTGAATTTCAACCAGGCCAATCAGCGAACAGAAGGAGGAGTTGTGAACAATTGTTGTTAATTTTTGTCCATAGCTTTAACAATGGCAGTGGAGGAAGTGAGCGAAGACATTCAGTCCGTGTTGACCATGTCTCAAAATATTGAGCAATTAAAGCTGGAGCAAGAGGTTGATGTAATTGCTCTACTCCCCATGAGTTGTTTACAGTGTTAAGCTTCATCAAACTAACCTCATGCGTCATATATCTTGCCCAAACGTTAGACACTGGGTAAAATTTGAAACCTCAGCAGAGTTCATGCCTCCAGCTGGCAGTTGGTTCTCAATAACCGAGTTCCAGACTAGAGATGTACTAATCCGATATTAATATCTGTATCGGTCCCAGTACTGAAAATTATTCAAGATCGGGTAATGGTGACAATGTGCCCTATCTATAAAGGAGGTTCTATTCAGTCTAATTCTATTTTTTGTGCTCTGAGCAATGTCATGCTTTATTATTTATATGACATCATAATTCGAATTCCTAATTTGCACTTTCTGAACTATTTTTTCATAGTTTGTTGCAGTTTGTTACGTTTTTGACCAAAATAGTCAACCTGTTGTTTTTGACAGTTTCAGTTTCTTTATTGTTTATTTGTTCATTGGTTGTTTTTCTCCTAACTGCACTGACTCAACAAATTAAAGTTGTTTTTACATGTTTGACCAAGCTTGTGAAGCTATTGGTGCATTTACATGTGCTGTGCTGGTGAAGAGTCTTCAGATACATCTGTAAATCAGTACACTTATGTGACAGCTTCGTGTACCCGTTCCGTCATACACACTTGGAGGCCTGTTGGTTGGATTTCATGCCGTTTAAATCAATGCAATGACCACCTATTTCCACCTGGACATGGGTGTCCTCCACCCTTTCAAACCATACAGCCAGAGAGATATTTACAAGGGAGCAGCAGTAGAGGCAGATGAGATTGATTTACCAGTTCATTACAATAATTTATGGTGTCATGCAAGATTTGTGATTGTGGGATATTGTCACTTAGCATGTGCTCACCACTTAATACATGCTAAGTTTTAGAGTTTGTTTCCTGTTTAATATTGCTATAGCTTAAAGGGCCAGTATCATGTAAAATTGACTTTTTTCAGTTTTCCATCATGTTATAATTATATTCGCTCATCAAAATCATGCC